TATAAGCGAGAAATGAGGGTTTCAAGTAACTTTTTCCTTAGCGAAAATGCAATTCGCGGCTTCGTTTGCGAGTTATTAACAAAAAACAGTGACCAATGAGAGGCGAGATCAGCTGGCGCGAGCGGAACTGAGCTTCGATCGCTTCGCGCCAGCTGATCTCGCCTCTCATTGGTCACTGTTTCTCGTTAATAATTCGTAAACGAAACCGCGAATTGCATTTTAAAAAAAATGTTACTTCAAACCCTCATTTCTCGCTTGTACAATAATTTTGGGACAGCCTGTACACGTTCGAGGATCTCGATGCTTAATTAATTATTTACTTCAAATGGGAAAATCGAATAGTTCAATAAACTCCACAATGAAGAAACTAAATTTGGATTTGTTGTATTTACGTATTCGAATTTCTGATTTATCCAGTGCATCGTTTGTGAATTCGTGTAAACGTCGTCTACGTCCAATGTACTATTAAAATTCAATTTCCGTCAAATTGTATTTACCAAAATATAAAAAGATCCACTGTTAAATTAGAAATCTGTTCCTTCGAGCAATCCGTGTAGCAGAAATTGATCGGTTGCTGAGAAACCGCATTAAAAAAATCGAAAATTATATTTAGCATAGTTATTGTGCAGAGCAAAGGACACAAACAAAACAAACAAAATGAACGAAATCTGTCTTATTGCTTCGCCTCGAATAATTATATTAGCGTGCCACAGTGAATAATTTAGTGGATCATTTGGTGTTAACGAAGTTATTTCTTATTTTTCTAATGCGTATACGCGCGAAAATGGAGTATCTCGAAATAATATACACACAGTATGCTCACGATTGATGGGAACGATTTAATTTTGCAATGCTATAATGCAATTTTGCAATGCTAATTACAAACGATGCACGACGCAAAGTAAAGAATTACTATTAAATAATGTTTCGATGATACGAATGTCTCAAATTCTTTAAACTTCGTATTTGTATCGTATCTATTATATATAATATAATATATATATAATATAATATATATAATATATATTATATATAATATATTATATATATATATATATAATCGTATATTATTATTGGAACCGACGAGTTATTTCTCTTGATCGCGTGTGATCTAACAAACGCGTCACAATGAAAACTTCGTAAATAGATTTATTTCATAAAAATATCAATCGTATGAACAACTTTATTTCTCAAATATAAGATTTCATCGACACTGTCGTTCCGTACAGTATTATACATTTTCAAACGTATGACAAAAACTGATATTGTTTTTCATATGCCAAATGTTTGGACACTCGTCGTTGTATATAAATATATTTTAGGAAAAGTATCGTGTTGATTTGTGAATACGCCACTCTATACTCATTGGAAAAATAAAGAAAAACAAAAGAAGATAGAAAAAGATTATCAACGAGTTCTCGACCGTATTTACCGACATCATTCTGACAAAGATGCATCTAGGTACGTAGGAAAACGCATAGTTAACACTCCAACAGAAAATCATACTGAAGCCATATCTTCTCTATACATACATCTACTATTCTAATACATCCCATAGACCGCTAATCTAGCGATGTTTAAGAAGAATACATAGGGAAGGAAAGAGAAATTTGCTTTAATATCTTAAATGGGCAATAACCACATGACAAGCAACGAACGCATAAAAGAACAGCACTTTCCATTTCTTTATGTTTTTTCTTTTTATTTATTAAAGCAGTTATTTTGCAGAACGCCAAGAAGCAATGTTGAGATCACAAAATTTTACATTAAAATTTCAATCACACGATACAGTCTCTTTATAAGCTCGTTTCGACGATTTGAAATTTTATTATTATTTCCACCATCTAGACGATGGAATAATAGACATAATAACAACCATACTGCGGATTTGATATGCAAAATAAAAACTGTCTGCATTACTTGCAAGATACAGCAGCTACGCACACACATTCACTTGTCTTATTTATCATTTTAATGAGTTGATAGGAATATAACAGTGTTTGTAAATTCTTTAAATGGCTTTCTGTTTTGCACTTAGATTATTGTGTATTTCCAATTAAAATAACTGAATAATATGATAAAAGTGTTGTGTAAAAATAATACAAATTAAAAGAAACAATAGTAATCAGAAAAACTAGTAACTTGTGATCCCCGTAGTCAGTTACGAGTTATCTTTTTTCGATTAGTTTATGAAAATACATTGATATGGTGTTCAAAAACAAATATATAATTAGAATGAGAAATTAAAATTAGATTGAAAAATGAAACAGTTGGAAAACATATTTCATAGAAATATAACATAATTTACGTGGTTAAAACTTCTGACGTATTTTTTTTTACAACGTTCACAGATACAGAAAAATTGAAGAACACGATAAATAAATACTTATTTATTTAATGCTTTGCGCTACACACTGTTATGTACTTGAATAAACAAAGAAATATCTGTTGCAATAAACGTAAAACATAATGAAATCGAAATGCAAAAACGTTATCTTACGAAAGTGTACACGAAAGTAGTTACAGTTTCATCGGATAAAGGTGGAATTGCAAATTACCTAATAAAATAAAGTGAATAATGATGCTGTTGAAAAAATACTATTTAAATCAAATTTCCATTGAAAGTATCAATATTTTTAAGCAATACATTCCTAACGAATTGTTAACCAATTTTGACTAGATTATTTATCCTGCGATCAAATTTACGTTCACCTTTAAAAAAAAGAAATTGTGAGAGATCATGTTATTGCCCATACAAACTGTTCGAAGTTATCAAAATGATGTTTAGACTAACGAAATGCCTTGTTCAAGACACTTCATGTTCGTCAACGAAAGATTCAGAGCGCAGATCTGGCTTCATGCAACGACGGCAATCAGCTCCGAAAAGAAACTGCAGGAGTAGCGCGTCAAGATGTTTATTGGCTCACTGTGAAAAAGCATTACAATACTACAAATGTTACACGATGCAACAAGATGGCAGGTTTGATTCCTAATATTTACTCAGAATGAGCTGAAGCGTGTGGCACCACCACCCTACAGCTAAAAAAGAGAAACACTATGCCTATACACCGGTCAGATCTCAAATCGACCTCGAAACAAATAGATTTTAACACTCTATGTCCTCTAACCGGTATTTTATAGTACCGTTTTCTTTAAAACGCTCCTATAGTTACAAAATTTTTAGAACCTGACTGGAGACTTACAATCAGTATTACTTCAACGTTTTCTGGAAAGCTATGAAATTATATCTACACTTAGAGATTCCATATTTGTGTACAAAAAGTTCTACTGTATGCACACGGTGTCTGTCCTTTTTCCTTTTTTTTTTCGATGATCCAAAATCCTTTCTTTTTTAAAGATATTTTGTATTTTCGTAGAATACGAATTTTCATTACTCATGTCCTGGTAACTACGATATATTCCTATTTGAAAACATACGTAAACAAAAATCGCAATTAAGAAATAGCGGTAACGCGATAGTAACATTAAAGAATTAATATTTTTACTTTTGAAGAAGGAGAGTATATTCCCATTTTTTATTGTAATGATTCTGTTGGATATAACTCTCCCATACATTAGAAATATATTTCAGTTCATTAAAGTTTTGGCACATCTTGATTTTGAATTGGTCTAATGTTATATCTAACAGAATACAAATGAAATATCGTTGGAAATATCTGATAATGTTAAATAAAAACAACGTTTGTTTTCGTGAATTGAAACATGTAGGAAGTTTTTACATTTACAGAAAACAAAATAAGACCGTCGTCTCTTATTTATTAAAATTCTCTAAGCTATTTAGGAAATTAAAAGATTAATAGAAACACAAAGGACATTAAAAGCTTTCTAGAAGACATTTGCTTCAGTTATCAATGAATTAGTTCTGCGCGCGAACAAGAGAGCAAGAAATGCGATGTTACTTGCAGTTATCACAGTCGAAAAGAATAACAATTTATTCTGTGTGTGCACATGATAGCGCGATGTGCAGCGTAAAAAATAATAGAATATTAACACATTCGATTATTACACGTTTTGAAGAGACTGAAATCGAATTTGTTTATTCGATGAAAGTGATATTAGTAATATCCAATAATGCCTAAAAGGAAGTAAATGATGCGTGTTTAACTTTGCAACATGTCACTGAGTGTAAAACTTGGATAAAATATTCACAGGAACTGTGAAATATAATGTTTTATAAAGGTTTATATCAAGGTTGTATTTTTAATTTGGACAAATAAATATTATAATAAAATATATACGGATGATATTCGGTCGTTTGTAATAGACGCGACTGCTTCAAATTTAATAGAACACAAACAAACCATTTATTCGATTTTATAGTTTCTGCTATAAATTAAAGAAATTTCTACTTAATTTTAGGTTTAGTAAATTAGTGCATACAAAATCTGCTATACATTCGCACAGATATATCAAGAATTCAATTATGTATTTAATGTAAAATATAGGAATATATATAGAAACGATTGTTGCGTTCAATTTATATTACCATACCAAATATCTGAGATATCGGAAAAGCAAACGACTCGCACTTTTGGTTAACTGATACAATCGAAAGTAGTTATATAGAATTGATATCCATAGAGGCGCACCGATAAGAAAGAACATAACTACCAATCTCCTACTAGCGTTGCATGACCCTTACCCATACCTGATCTACGACAACTAAACACTCCCAATGAAAGGATGAAAACCGTAGAAAAACGTGAACCACCGAACAAACCCGATTTTATATATCCTTTGTACGCATCAACGAGTTGCACGAAGCTATTCGATACGCGAAAATGTGTACAAAGTCAAGACTACGCGGAAAAGTATACATATTTGCTGAATCGGTGCAAGATTACTCGGAATTCGAAGATGTATATTTGCACATATGAATATATTATATAGAATATATATATAATATACACAGTGTCCCAGGACACTCGTTGCACGCAGAAAGGAGCGACCAAGACGCAACCAACATTTTCGCTGAGGAAAAGATTACTTTAAATCGCCTCAAGAATCGCCCCCTTCCTAGTGTAATGAAAGTTCTGAAACACCTCGTATAATATGTAATTTACCATATATAATATAATATGTATATAATATATTATATATATAATGTATATATGAAATATAACTGAGCGTACGTATAAATAAACAATATAAATAACGTCCAAGTGGTACATGCAAAAAGAGCGCTAAAATATCCCCTACAAGTTTTACGCTCAGTGCGTAGAGAAAAAAAAATCATTAACATTTCGTGCACAATAAGTTTTGAAGCCAAGCGAAGAAGGGTAGACATAGCATACAAAATCAAAATAAAAAAAAAAAGAAAAATATAAGATAAATATATATGTATGTAGATATGTATACATATATATGTATATGTATATTTATATACATATATATGTATACGTAAAAGTAATTGTCGGAAGGGTCTTACCCTGGAGGACGAGGGGGCACTTCCGGCACTCCCAATGGCCCAGCTCTTTGCAGGGCCATCGCTAACCACAGCCTCACCTAGTTAGGACATTGTAACAGTAGTCGTTACCACCAGTCTTTATTATAAATAATGCCTTTTCTTACAGGAAGCACAGATGTTCGTGTCGTAAAAGAAAAGCTCATATTTCTCCTGTACATTAGCGAAACGCACAGAGCTATGTTTCTCTCCTGTTCGATTTCTCGCACGAAGTACCAATGATACCGTCTATTTCTATGCATATATCTAGAATCCGTCTGCGGGCTACGTTCGAACGTGAAAAATGTGGTCAATCAATCTCGCCTTGTGATCGAATTCAGTAATTCTGTCCCTATAATCACGCTTTGTCGACCTCTTTACAATCGCTTCATCATCCCCACTACGTTGGGTATCTTGTCTGAAATAAAATATTCAAATATCTCCTTCGTTTCAAATTGTATCAACAACGGCCATGCCATTTTCTTTCAGACTTCCCGATCTTCAATGCAAATTACAGAAAATTAGGAGACACACAGTAATGGGACTTACTTCTGCACACTTTTCTTACCCCCTAAGTTGGCGAGCACATTCCTACCATTTTACTGCGCTTTCAATCGGCAGTGGATCCTGTCTCAGTAGTGAATCGTCAGCTAATCAGAGCAAAGAAAATTTTTATTTCGACCCTTGCTGAAGGAATCAAGCTGCGGTCTAGAGGTGTGCAGGAGTAGGTTCCATTGCTGTATTAAGATAATTATTTACAAAAGGATGAATACATAAGTTATGTATTCCGATTTCGATGAAATCCACTCTGATTTTGATGAAATATGACATTTTCGACTACTCTTACCTGTATAAAAAAAAAGTCGTTCAGCTTTAGCGAAATTTTTTAAACAAATAATGACCTATGCTTATAACTAGAGTACAGATTTTATGCATTCACTTTAAAATTGACTAGGTGAAGTAGCAAACGATGAAGACACTAGAGGAATCTAGGTTTTACTTTTGTTTCTTACAACTGATTCACTCTTCGACTACTGAAGCACGGCCACCTGTGCCAGAGTCATTTCTGACCAACACTGATATTCTACTAATGCATATTTGCGGTCCTACCCACTATTGCTCGCTGTGACTCCGATAGTGTAGACGGATGTTTAAAAATGTATAGTTTACGAGAAAGGTTTTTAAAATGCACCGTAAGTTACGAATATAGGTTACATCAGCGCAAGGTCCTGTTTTTTCGCAAGTATCTCAGAAACTAATGCAAAGCGACATTTTTTGTAAAGGGTAAAAGTTGTTCAAAATGACAAATTCTACAACATATACAAATTTTATCAAAATCAGAGAGAGTGTCCCTTTGTAAAGAATTATCGGTAATAATCCTAAAACTCCTAAGGGGAGTTTAACCCTTTGCAGTCGAAGCTATTTTAATTCGAAATAAAAAAAAAATGTTCTCTGATTTACAGTATTTCCATTTTATATGATTTAGTACGATTTATTCACATGGAATTGAGCCTATTGGCAAGTACAATGCTTGTAATTTTAATAGTTTTTAAAAATATAAACGAATCTAATATTGTTACAATTATTTAGAAAAACAATATAGCAATCTTTGAGCCTCAGAGTCGTCGCTCAAGTGAGAAGGGTTAATAATGATAATTTAAAGCGAGTTTCTATGCCCAGAGAGCAAAGAGAATTTTTAGCTTAGAAATTAAGAGAGTTGCTTGAGAATTAAGGAACTCCGAAAAGAATTGAAACGTGTTTCAATTGATTAAAATCCTAATACCTACTCATCTCAACTTTGAATCCATCGATAAAAAATGTGTAATGTATTAAACCCCAATCAGAATTTATAAAACAGATTGAAGATATATAGATGAAGATTAATTTTCAATGAAGTTTATCACTAAAAGATTACATACTTATGAATGAAAGAGATTCTTTCGGGACTGATTATGTTATGGAATAAAAATGATGCATATTTCAAATTAGCATGGAGAAAAAATAATATTACAAAATGTTCATTTCATTCTATTTCGTGTTTCTATTAATAGCATTGCAAAAGTGTTATTTTCAAAAATTCCATGCTACAGAAAAGTATTGTTAACACATGTCTAATGAACTGAAAGTAAACGTCTTCCTTTCAGTTTGAAGGAAACAAAAGTAATTTTCCGATGTTTTCAAATTTCCGAAATGCCTATGGGATCCATTCGAATTGCCAAAAACAACATAATATGTCTGACATATTTTGACAAAGACCTGTGAACGTGAGTCATTAACACTAAATCCACCACTTCTAATCAAATGACTGGAATAAAGATTTTGTTTACAACTATTGAGAATACAAAGACGTATTCGTCGAAAATGGTACAATCCTTATTCGAGTTTATATTATAATAAAAACTGTGCAAAATCTAGATAAATTCGATGCTATAATTTTTATAAGACAACACATATCAGTCACTTTTATTGATAGGTTTATTGTTAAATGAGATATTCCTCCATGCTAGCTTCCGTATAAATAAAATATTGATGCTAGCTATATCCATTGTTTACTCAATAAACTTTACTAAATGATCAGTATTTATTGAATCATCTTTTAAAGTCAATAATGAACGATCACGTTCATGTCAATAAATTGTTGAATACTCATATGTACACTGCGGATCGTTATGTAAATCATCAGTTGCAAAAGACAGGAGTAACTTAGACATTTTATTCTTTGTTTAATAATTTTAATAAGTCGCAAGTAGTATATTAACATTATGAAATGCTGTTAATCCGCAGTCTACTCATGAGAGAGAAAATCGTGAATAAACAAGTTATGTTGAGTAACATGTGCCACAATTTTTTCTTGACTATTGCATAAAAAAATTAGGAAAATATGTGTGTAGTTGTCCAATTTTATTGCACCTAACTTTGTAGTTGAATATTCACTAGGTACTTAAATTTAATAATAAAATTCGTTCTTTAAAATAGAGAATATTTTTTTCAATACTGCAAAAATTTTGAACATATAAAATCCTTTTTTGTCGCAGCAATTGAAGGAAACATTTGAATGATCTATTTTAGTCGAGATACCTTCAATATGAAATTAATTATTTCTAATAGAATTTTTTGTGGAAGAAGACAAAACATCAATAATTTGATGCAATGCACACATAATTAGTGTCATTGCTCTCTATAATTATGTCTCAAGCAGTGTGACTATAGAGAGAGAATATTATATTACACGATAGTCAAAATAAAAGAATGAATAATAGTAGCATCGTATAGAATTTTCATATCATTGACTCGTATATGCAAAAAGGTACTCACCTAAGAGACTTCACTATCGTATTTTTATGAATATAAAAGAAATATCGATAAAAGTTTGAAAATTCTATAGATGATTAATAATAGTCATCAAACGTAGTATGCTTTATATAGGCGTAATTGACTACTAACAATATTTCTGACATTAAAACCATTCCGATAGAATTCATTCATTGTTCAATTTTGTACA